TGGTAGGTTATAATATTGGATTTAAAAGATAGTTATTAATACTTTTTAATATCAGAGAATGCTCAAAAATTACTAAGGTTCAGATTCAAAGAGAACTAGTATCATTATGAGTTCTACTATTTGGCTTAAGCTAAGTAGTGTAGATCTTTTCAAAGATAATATGAACTCTAATTGAACACTGGCATTAAATAGATATCTTCTGCGAAAACATGTAGACAATATTTGGATTGCTTATCCAGATTTCAAAACCCTAAAATATCAAAGAGATCATGTAATTATACTAGATCTGAAGTTAAAAAGGTTTGTTTTGGAAAACAAAGGAATAAGAGCCTATACAAAAGCCAAAATTTTATAGTCAAGTACTAGATACTATAAGAGCATTAGTAATTTTTGAGCATTCTCTGATATTAAAAAGTATTAATAACTATCTTTTAAATCCAATATTATAACCTACCAATTTCTCACAACCGTCCAGATAAATATTTTTAAACCCTTAAAATAAAATGACTTGTTTTGTTCAACCTTTGCAGATCTATAATAAGCCTTCATTCTTTTGGCCTTAGTTTTGGTACCAAAAATATAGGGCTTACTTCTAATAAGCAATTTGGCCTCTGGGGTTCTATTTCTATTTTTAATATTGCACTCTTTTTTAAAAGTTGTGTTAGCTTTTGCTTTAACCAGGCTTTTGTTTCTGTATAAACTAGTATTGTCTTGGAGTTTTTTAAAGAAATAAACCTTTTGAAAATAGTAGAATATCATGTTCAAGCCAATTTAAAACCAAAGGTAATGCCATTATTTTTTTTCTCCAATATGTTATTAACAATAGTTTGTTTACCTTCCTACTATAGATTGTTTGGGGCCCGAGAGTAGTCAACTGTAGTTTCTATTTTGTGCTGGATGCCTTGCCATTTCCTGGGCTTTACTTGATCTTCTCTCAAATGATTATTTGTTTGATCTAAAGGTACAGTTATTTGCATAATGTCTCAGTTTCCCACAGTTATAATATGCAAATAAACTATTTCTTTCTCTTTTATCATTATAGAGTCTATCACTTTCTCTTTTAGGCAAGTAAGGCCTATAACTCCATTGTAATCTATTTTTAAAATCTCAGTTCTCATAAGATTTGTACCCCTGAAAAAATTGCCTTTTGTTTAAATACTTCCTTTTCACTTGTTGTTTCAAATTTGCTGCTTGTCTTGCCCATTCGATTGTTTCACTATATGCTGATAATCCTTCATTTTTCAATTGAGATAGCTCTACTGCAACCTCCCAACCAAAATCTTTTGCCACATTTAAAACTACTGTTCTATCTAGTGTTTTCGTTCTTATACTTTAAATATGATGAATGGCTTCTTCTTCTGTTGAAGCACTCAGCACCAAATCCAAGTCATTCCCAATAGCACAAAGTGCATTATATTCAAACTGGTCTCTAAATTTTTCAAACTTTCATCAGGCCGGTTCTTGTGTATCTTTGATCTCATGCTTGATACTTCAAATTCTGAGATAAAATTTATATCCTCTCACAAATGTTTAATCTTATTTAACAATGCTTTTATATTACCAACATCCTTGGCCTCTCTTTTGACTCTCTTTGACTTTTTCTCATGCAACTCATCATTGCTAAGAGCCTTAGCCAACATACTGAAAGTTGGACTTCCACCACAAAAGATGCCTTCTTGATTGGTATCATCCTCTCTGAATACTTCACCTTCCATACCGTCCATAGTTTCATCTGAGATATTTTGCCATGGCTGGGCCAGGCCACTTGCAGTCATGAGACATTCTATCAAATCAGCCTTATTTCCTTCTGTACTCGAATTTAGTCATGTAGAAAGGTTTTTTAAGGCTTCAACTGACATGTGAGAGTGACATACATCACTTCGACATGTTTCTATTTCACCTGTTTGCTCTCTTAGATCAATACCTTGTTTGTATGTTTTGTCAAGTGCCATTTTCTTTCTTCTTTGTATGTTCATCTATGGAAAGGTGTTTTATCAAAGGGATGTGTGTTAGAGAACCTTCGATTAGCCAGAAGTAGGTTTCGGGCAACTACTAAAAGCAGCGAAAGAAAAGCACAACTTCACTCATTAATTCTGTGGCTTACTTATACTCATCATTAAACTCATCGGATCAATGACTACATTTATCATGCAAAAAACTTATTCGATCTGTGATCTCATCGCAGGATCAGCGATCTCGCAAAAGGATCATTCGACCTATAACTTAATTTTAGCATCACTAGGTCCAGTGATTTCGATAATCATGAGCTTCGTCACAATCAGTCTAATTTGTGAGCATTTTAATAATTGAGACAAAATTTTTCAATGCAGTTTTTATGAATTTTCTATCACATCTTTTATAAATGTTTCAATATTAAAACTGTCTTCGGTTTCAGCATTATTTTTTACTACAGAATTATATATAAATAAAATATTACTCATATTTAACAAAGACCACAACTCTTCAGTTTTGGAGATCATTTTTATTCGAAAATAATTT